CTGGCCCGACTTTGATGAATTTTTTTTGTGCGTGTTCAAGTGAAGTCGAAAAAGGTTTAGATTCACAATTCGGCCCACTTATGAATTATGACGTGTACAGGACAACGTCGGGTCCGCTAGCTTATAGAATCTATCCATAATCATCATTCTGCTATCTCTGCCATCTCCCACCTAGGTGGGGTCCATTTTACCCTTATTCGGAATCGTTCTCATCCGTGTGTCAGTACGATTACTGTGCGGGAAGCCCGTGTGTATCTATCTGTTGGATAATTAATAGGAAACTTATTAATATAAAGAATTTTTTTTTTTGGATGAATAATGAAATGTCACGAAAACGAAAGTCTCCTAACAGACCTCAAGTTGACAGATGTGCTTGATGTGTTTTTGCTTAGCTCGTCAACCCGTATAGAAGCGGTTAATGGGTTTGCGCTCCGTCTGGGAGAGTTGACCGTAACGTAATCAAGCGGCGTCTGTAGTGAGGTCGATGTGGCTTATTACGATTATAAATATTATTTGTTACACAAGTACCGCAATGTGAAAAATCCGACAAACTTTTTGGTAGTCGAATGACAAGGAAAAATTAAGACATGTCGTGACATAAATTTTACCCTTTTGTTAATGCTTAGCTGAGAGTTGTTTCGTTACCGAGCTCGTATGACCATATAAAAAAAGTTATTTTAAATTTTTAGTTATTTTTATTAATAACAAAATAATAAAAGCTTGTTTTTAAAAAGTTTCTTTATTCTTTTATTTTTTGTCTTCATTTTGAGGTGATCATTTATCTTCGATCATTTATATTATGTTTGTTAATTTCCTGTTTCAGCAATGTTCGTCGAAACGTTCATTTGAAAAATTCAACATACTATTACACCGTGAAGTAATGTGTGAAAGGATTAATTGGGGCGTATTTACGTAAGACTCACTCACGCGAGCGATTTTCGCCGACTTTTCTTCTATTTACTATATACTATAACACTTACATAACAGCAAAAAACGGACTATTGACATTATAATTGTTCCTTACGTGATTTTTTACAAGCAATAGGGTATAGTCATCCGCGCAAAAAACAACACCGACAGCATAAGAAAAAAGAACAAAGAGTATTTTGCCAAATCACACAATTGCGTCTGTCGCTCGAGACAGTATTGCATTAATATAATAGACAATTGTGTCTGCATTGTCTGAGATCTATATTTATGTAATTATCCATGGTAGCAGTTATTGGTTATCGAAGAGAAAAAAAATGATCACGCTCGCGTTTTTATTACGTCATATTTACCGCAAATTGTTAGTTATTTAAGCGTGCGTTCTAATGCACGCGAATGTACTTAGTGCAATAAGAAAGTAGGATCGATCGCGTATAAAACATTCCTGAATCAGTCGATTTTGGAATGCTTTAAAAGGCAGTCACCGGTAAATTGGACCTCCAGATATTAACTGTGGCAGGGCCACGGAACAGCCTTCACTGTTGCACGAATGAGCAGTTCCTTCCGGGGGAGTACCGCGACCTCACAGAAGACTGCAAGAAGTGGAAATGATACACTTCTGCGTTCGGTCTGTTGAGTGAGGTAGCCGGGCGCCCACTTTATTAAAAGGTGGCAGGCAATGCATCGACAACCCTACACGTCTTGCAAATGTCCATGGGCGGCGGTTATCACTTAACTTCAGGTGAACCGCCAGGGCGTTTCTCACATAAAAGAAAATTACACTGAGTTCTTCGGTCGCAATATGTAAATAGGATTTTAATTACGTACATGAATGAGTATTGCTCTTCGCCGATTTTGCACGTACATAAAAACTAACTACTTTTCATCGTAGAAGTCAACTAACTAGCTGTCAAATGGATTTTCAAATGTTATTTGAGCTGCCAAAAGGATGGTTAAACTCTTTGAATTGATCATTATGATCATTAAGAAGATCATTCTGATCAATTACTCTTCTACGACGATCAGTGTTTCAGTAACCGGTCTTAAATCTCTATTACTCATGAATGACCCTTATATGGTTTAAATAAATAACAAAAAGCAAATTGGTAACAAACTACTAATATACGGAGATGGCTTATCACTGCGGCTGACATGAGGGCTGATTCTTTTCTCGCTCAAAGGTTAAGCATAACTATTCAGCGTGGTAGTGCAGCTAGCGTTCGGTCACGGGTATGCCCCGGTTTTAAACAATGTTTATTTTATTTTCATTTTCAACAGTTTAAAATATATTACAAAATATTTTTTGTTATATTTAAAAAAATACAAAAATAAATTACAGATGAGCATAAGTAGACAAAATTTTATCAGGTAACTATATTATACAGTGAATTAGAAATAGGCAAGAACATTTTGAAACTGTTGAAAATAAAATAAAAACATCATTGCATGGACATATACATACTTGTATTTATCATTAAGTAAAACAAATTAATTTCCAATCAACTACTTTTTACAAAAAACCGAACCGTACAAATTCCTTTGTTCGGCTGAAGATGATCGACTGGTGCCGGTTCCTACCATGTTGCGACATTCTCCGCGTCTCCTGTTATGGAAACCTCCATTAAAGCGTGCGATTCGTTTTTAAATGCACATTTTAAATCAAAATGTCATCGTTGTGATTTCCTTCTTCTTACAATCGCCCACGGTGACAAGTCAAAGCTGCTGTAGTCGACTTGTTGGTGTATTTTAAATAGTTTTATATTTTAAATATAAATTTTTTCTTCCACACGGCAAGCCTTTTGATAGATATAATTTATTATTGTACGCTGTGTGTGTCTACTATTAATTTATAAGAATGTCTGAGACCAATTCTTGTAAAATTTAGGACTAATGATACTCTAAAATATCCTAATAGCAGTTCTAATGGAGATATTTTCAATTTGATGAGTGTCTTTGTTATCAATTTAACTTTATATTACTAATTATACATTGCCTATTAAATGTATAGTTAATCTATTTTTTTGTAATATAAGAATGGTTGGAGATATTTTAAACTTTGAATTTTGATAAAATCAACTAAGCTGAGTAAAGGTAACATTCGCACAGTCGCAGCTCAGCAATATGTTAGGAATAGCAGTGTTGTAAGTTTTTATTATACACATGAGATTGTGATTAATAATTTATTTTAGTTGTTTTAATTGTTGATTAAATTTTAGTTATTTTGACTATTATTACAGAATCACTGTACGTGCTACTTTACCTTATTAGCCATATTAGCCTTAAATGAGATGTTAGCCAAACAGGAATATTATTTTGTTTCTTAAAAGGTTTTAACTGTCGAAGATACGTTATACGTTGTAGATAAATTTATTGCAAGGCAAACTAAACTTTCAGTTACATGTGCACACATTTCATGTAGAAAGTTAACAGTCCAAATATTTCAGATAAGAGTTAAAAACAAAAGTCACCGAAGACCAAACGAATACTCTAAGCATTCAAATGAAATAACGCAGTATGAGATAAAAAGTCAAACATTGATTAAAGTTTAAAAAATGTAACTTAATTTGCTATGCAAATTTTGAAAGTACTCCCGCGATGAAATATATAATAAGTATATCGTTTAGTTACGAAAATTTCTCTCGTTACGATATTTATGGAGCGTCAACGATTTGTGTTCACAATGAACAAATTATTATCGTTGACCATGATTTATGTCTTAACATCGCGACGAAATGTTTTATTACTGCGCACTGCCTCTGGTTACAAGACATGATTCACGAAGAGTTTTTTTTGCCAGTTACTTTTGAGTTATTTCATTTTTGTGAATTCGTGTCGATTGTGTGCAAATTCAACTTATGGATGTACCCACATGTATTTTTTTCGGATAAATAATGCAAAAGTACGGCATGTAATGAGTACGAATTATTTTATACGTTAACTGTCCATAAATTTATATCAATTCTAATATTAGGTTTGCGAAGAAAGTCCTTGTAAAATTTTTCCTTGATTTGTTTTAAAATTTAAATGAATTTATCAGTGACCGTCTGTAGATTGAGATTGTTAAATGGTGTTTTAATAGAAATGTTTTCAACCGTCTGACACGTCATGTGTAGAACAGAACGTTCTTTACAAATATCTAATAAACTTTTATATGTAGGCATAATATTAGTAAAAAAAAATGAAATGTATAAATCAGTAAACATTTAAAGGTAAACATTTCTAAATAGTATTAGCAAAAATTATTAATTTCATGTCACATGAATTTACTAAACTTGTTGAATGAAAACGTTATCTGTCAAAAAGAAGACGTAAAAGCGACTGCAGGTGCCTTAATACTCTTTTGAATACAGGTCATACATGCGTCATTAGGTTAGGCCTAACATGCATTACGAGGACACGTTATGTTAGTTTAAATGGACCTCTGTCAGTAGAAAACGCACCGATGACATCTCCGCTAATGACCACGAACACATCCGTGGCATTTAACGTTCAATTTGACTGTTTTAAGCGTCTTTGTTCAATTGTGGGTCCATGTTTGACCATGCAGAAAATATGTTCGAAACAAAAATTATGCAAATTATCCAAAAATTATGCACACTTGTATCTTTGTTTTGTTGTTTTTGCTGTCATTTATTTTTATAAGCGTTTTACCAGCAAATGCCTTAATTTTCTTAGGATAGATATTACTTTGATACCCCATTACTTTACCCAAGTTTACGTTAGTTAGCTTGGGACTAATTTTTATTTCGCCGATAAAGGGAACGGGGATATTATAGATGTAACAAATTGTAAACAATTCAAATGTGAATTTCTAACAAATTCGATTCATATCGATTCGGTTGATAACGGTGTATTTTGCCAGTTACTTTGCAACGCTAATGCATATTATATGTTGAAAATTAAATTAGTTTATGATTTATTTTTTGCTTTGTGTATTAAAAAAAATCTACGTCATATCGTATGTCAAGAATATACGTAAGCAATGTTTCTAAACGTGTATTAAAACGCGTTTCCTCGGAAAGTATTCATTTGAACATGTGGTCTAAAAATCGCCATTTTTTGTGTGTGTACAGAATGACGAGCCCCCCGAGATCACTTACTGCGTCGTCGGGGGCGAGGGTGGTCTCGCTCTGCAGGCGGTCACCCCCACGCACCCCATGCCGCCGCAGGACGAGCTGGACGCCAAGTTCGCCGAGCTGGTGGTAAGTTACCTCACTTCATCATCTCTAAGTTCCTTACATCGTATTTACAATGGATTACGCTACGATATGTGATATGGCAATACAACCGGATATTTTGCATCCAGATGTAGTCTGTATACGTTCACATCCGGACTAAAACACTTCCTATCGCGGCTAAACATTAACTTATAATTAACCCTGCTTATAGTATTTCTTTCTCCTGCCCTATAATACCGCCTTATAATGTCGGCTGAATTATATTGTTTAGGCATTGCTAGGTTTTTCTTTGGGAAGAAAACACCCGGAACAATTATACTTGTCCCGTGTGTAATCGAACCCACTACCGCCAATGGCTTAGCGACTGCGCCACCGAGTAATCAATTAACATTGCTTATATATTATGACGAAAATATTAACTGGACGGAACACGGATTATTAGATAAATATAATAAGAGGCGCCTAATAGTCTTTGCCGTGACGGTGAAGAACCCTAATATTCCGGTTATTTCACAACAGTTAAACACAGTAAGCCGTGACGTAGTTTTACAAAAATTTGTGTATAGTAAAGACGTAAAGGTAAAACACGATAAATTTTGAATTGCCATCGCATTCATTTGGGAATCGGATTGCGTAATTAGGACGGGCTTGCCCGATGGAATGCCACGAAAACTCAAGCGAGGTGTCATAATTCTTACTTAGTCGCAATAAAGTGTTCTCCAAAGATTTCTAACGGCCGCGTAAGCTTGCGTAACTTGTAAAATTTCTAAATTATTTCACACCAGTTTTCCCAGCGCTTTTGTTAAACACTTTAATTGCTTCTCATACGATAACGAATGTGATACTGTTAAATTCAAGAATGTAGAGTCGTGTTTGGAGCCATAGGATAATATATTTTTTTAAATTTATAAATTAATTACCTACTGCTCGCAGAGCGGTAGATAGGCTCACCGCTCGGAGATGAAAAGCTAGGAGAGAAATACAGGCGGTGTACCTGATGTTAAGTAATAACCGCCGCCCATGGATATTTGCAACACCCGTAGGGTTGCGGATGTGCTGCCACCTTTTAATAAATTGTGCCCCGGATACCTCATTCACCAGTCGAAATGCAGAAGTATAAAACTTCTACTTCACGCCGGTCCTCCGTGAGGTCCCCGGCTACCTCATTCACCAGTCGAAACGCAGAAGTATAAAACTTCTACTTCACGCGGGTCTTCCGTGAGGTGCGTCCTACTTTTCCGGCCGGACTTGCCCATTCATGCAAGAGCCGAGGCTGCTGCGTGGCCCTACCACTGTTACAAGGACGAAATAACTGTGCGGCAGTGTTACTCACCCAGCCGAAATAAGCTGACGCGTAGCTTCACCGCACTAACAATTATTCTTTATAAACCGTGTCGATTACTCTGCACAACCTATAGTTCTTGCCCAACGCATTGAACAATCGATATAATCCCTCGTTACCTTGGTAATAGTGGTAAATACCGCAACGCTCCCATTTGCATACGCAGCGATAATGTTGCGTTAATAATTGCTGTGTACGATATTGTATTGTGCAAATAACGTGTCGGGTGGAAAATTTAGAAGATTATTTGTTTTTTTAATAATTATAAAGAATTCTAACAATTGTGCTTAAAGATTTTATTTATTTAATAGTAATTTACTTGCTGTGTTTTAGATGTTTAGTATTCCTTTTTTTTTGTTTGTTATTTTGTTTTTACTCGCTGGTGACCATCACCTATTTGGTCATCAATTTTATTTTTTAATATATGCATACCTTTAATCCGTCATTGGGGTTCGAACCCGAGGTGAAAAGGTCGCAAGCTCATGCTCACTGCCACTACAGCCCAATTCAATTCAATCTTCGCTTGTAGCGCCTTCTGTTACTTCAATATTCGCTAATAGAATTCGCTGTTTAAAAAACATTTAGTTTAAAAAACAACATAGTTTAAAAAACCCATCAAAATAGCCCATGTTAATAAAATTTGAAAAATGGTAAGTGTAAATTGCAGTTTCTCCTAAATGAAAATGTATTTACGGATTTATCGCGTTTATTTTTATTTAAAACCGTATAAATAGTTTTATTTAATAATGTGGGCGTAATACAAGTAATTATCATGCACTTTCTCCTGTTGGTGTAATGTAGAAGCGCATTGCAGATACGGAGTAGTCAAGGACGAAGTAGTTTTCGAACCGATCGACTCCACCGTTCAATTTCGAAAAGCAATTACGAACATGTTTGAGTGTCATTGTACCGAGATAAGCTATCGCCGAAGAGAGTGAAAACTCGCTCGGGGGAACGAGTATGTCTTGTCGATTGAATCGCTTATTAACGTTTTAATTGCTCTCTATAGGACGCCTTATAAATAACTGATAATCGACTCGTGATATAAAACAAGTGAGAGTGGCACACGACCGCACATTTAATCGGTGGATATTACGTCCAACGTTACATTATTATTTACATGTAACAAAATACACGAGACTTTATGAGGTCAGATCAGAGACATTATCACTCAATTTAAAATCGAAACGAATTATGTTTTTCTGTTGTCTATTCACCCAGCATCGTCTGCTGTTACATGCCAGGACATATTATATTTATACTTACTTACATATGTAAATAATATAGTACCTTACTATCACTTATAAACATCCAGATTTGGAACTATTATCTGTTGGTCGCACAAATACTTGCCCCGTGTTTGAATCGAACCCACGACCTCCGGCGCCGAGGCGAACAATTTACCAACTGCGATACCGAGTCAAATAGGTGAATATTTCCATTCACAAATAACACATTGTCTAAGAAATATTTTATTTTTACGTGAGAAGGTGGCAAGCGAGCTGGTGGTTCACCTGATGTTAAGTGACAATCGCCGCCCATGGACATTTGCAAGCAAAGCGTAGGTGTTGCAGATTCATTTGTCACCTTTTAATAAAGAAGATCCGGTTGCCTCACTCTCCCCACTTTGATGGTTGCTTCCCTATTCTCTCTTCTTCTCTACACTTCCACTGCACGCCGGTCTTCCGTGAGGTCGCGGTACTTCCCCGAACTGACCTGCCCATTCGTGCAGCAGCGTAGACTGTTGCGTGTCCCTACCAGACCTGAAAAATAATATAAGCTAAATATTAATACGTGAAGCAAAAAAACTACCTACCCCTTTTTTACGAAATTTGCTCGAACGGTATGAAGTTGCCCACACTTATATAGTTTATATAGAGGAGTGCAGAATGCTAATATTTTTTAAAACTATGGAATAAAATACAGTTATTCAATAATAATGACATTACACACACTACCATTTATATTTAACTAGCTGATCCAGCAAACGTTGTTTTGTGCAATTTCGTAATATCCATCTAGCTGTTCTTAACTGACCTCTACTCGGCGAAAGGAATATTTCTAAAAAATTTCAAGTCTACTTCTTATCGTTCCAGAGATATCGTGATGAGTCAATTATCTGTGGAAATCTCTTATATATACATATATATAGATTATGACCGAGTTTCGATCACTAGGCGACCACTAGTATATATAAATGCGTATTTAGATTATAAATCAATCATCGCAGCAGAGTTCGTCGACATCGAGGACCGAGGCTGTTGACGCGCGTAATGAAATGAGGAAATGGATATCACGAGACTTCTACGTGGTCGCATTTCACTCATACCCTCGCCTGAGGCACCGTTTCACGCTCGAACTCACGTCTTCGGGATTCGGGCCCTGACGCTTTACCCAATAAGCTGAACCTATTGGGTGTAAAGTGTAATCATGTAAAGAACTGTTTTGTGAGGATACGAAAAAATCTTTTACTTAAACCTATACCATTTTTACACTTTTCTTTGTATTCTTCCCGGCACCTTTCTTTATATTATTTTTTGCCGTTCTCTTGCTACGTCTTCTTGCGTGTTCATCATATTATTCGATGGATGCAGGTGGCTCAGAATCGTACTTTTTGGCAGTCTATGCGCGAGGCCTATGTTTTGAAATGAGATGATGATGAATCGTAATAATATTTAACAAACACATGCCTCTTCTGCTGAGGCCGAAATCCGCTTATCGTAATGGTAAGCGTAGTTGGGCCTCTGCAATAAAGTAATCATCTACGCCCGTTTGTGGGGAGGTCGGCGAGGGCATAAATTTAAGTGTTGTCTTAAAACGTTTCAACTGTGAGATCAGTTATCTCAGTGAACAGATGATCTTGTAAATTTTTGACGTGTGTATAAAAATCGGCCAAGTGCGATTCGAACTCGCACACGAAGGGTTCCGTACCATTATCTATAATAAATTCATTGGTAAGAACCTATAGATTGCCTAGCAGCCATCTCGCCTTTGTTGTATAGGAGCTCCTTAAAAATATTTTTAATTTTATTCTGTTTTTTAGTATATGTTGCTATAGCGGCAATAGAAATACATCATCTGTGAAAATTTCAACTATTCATGAAATACAGGCTGGCGACAGACGGACAGACAGACAGCGGAGTCTTAGTAATAGGGTCCCGTTTTACACTTTGGGTACGAAACCCTAAAAAGGCAGTCAGGCTGATGACCCCGTAGTAAGAAATCTGTTCGATTTTCAATGTTATTTACATGAATCATCAGTGAGTGAATCTGTAATAACCTTTATATGATGTGTTTTCTATTCTCAACGCCATCGGGGTGACGGTCCGTACCTTACATCGATGGCCTTAGGCGACACTCCTCCTTTTAAGATTACGCACTCATGAGCACATGCGGCCCTACCCAACGCGGAGGGCCATATCAAGCTTAGCATGGCCTTAGTCTAAGAGGTCTGCATTCGATGACGCTTTAATAGTCTACGGACTGAACGCCGGTTAACAACAAACACCTGTTAACGAAATATTGTTTTCTCCTTTGAGACTTTATTTTTTGACAATTAAAATAAAAAAGTAAGCTATCGGGGCTTAATTTAAATAACCTTATTTTAATTAATTTTTATAAACCTTTAACAAAGCATTCTACATAAAATAATCTTTACTTTTAAATTTACTTCAACTTTCAT